GTCGGCCTCGCCCGACGCCGGCGAGGTCGAGCCCTCGCCCGACACCGGCGAGGGCGGCCTCGCCTGAGGCCGGCGACCTCCGCCGGCCCGGCTATGGCCGGCGGAGGAAGAAAAGAAAAAAAAAATAAGAAAAGGAAAAGGAAAATAAAAAAAAAGAAAAGAAAATAATAAAAAAATTAAAAAGTTAATGTTCCGGTGACGGAACATTATTCAATATAAATTGTAATTAAAATGTAAATTGTAATCAAATTTGGGGACAAAAAGACAAGAGAGAAAGAGAGGGCTTGAACTTAATAAATTATCATTTAGCACATTATAATTCGTTACAACGATTTATAAAAAAAAGGAGCACAATATATATGCCCTAAAATGACCCCAAAACCTAAGCATTCCGTGCGCAAGGGACCAGAGGTCACATGTCGTCGGATTATATTCCGGTTTCCCTAAGCTCACGTGGGCGTACCCGGTATGAGAAACAAGGGTTCCCGAAATATTTGTCAACTCCAATAGTTCTTTTACCCTCAATCGTCACTACCCGTTCCAGTACCGGTACCGGTACCGGTAGTATCTCCGTCGTTAAAGAATTCGGAGTCATTATTCCGATCTATCTCTTGTTGCCGGTATTGAGCCTTCGTCCAATCAGCAACACAAGCTTGAATCTCCACTGATTTTGGAGATAATCTTGAACGATGTTCGTCCAAAATATTACCTCCGGCACTGAATGCTTGTTCGACCACAACTGTGGAACAAGGGGTTGAAAAAATCTGTTTTGCAATAAGAGAAAGGATTGGATATTGGCTTGCGTGCCTCTTCCACCAATCCAAAATTAAAAAATCTTCTACTACCTTCGGATTCAGTAAACTCAAATGAAACAGATAGATAAATCTCTAATTCAGAAATATTTCCTATTACTCCCTTTTGTTTTTTTTGTCTATGTAATAAAAGTTGGTACCCTCTACTAATTTTACCTGTACTGTCATTTTGTATCTCCGTAGATCGAGAAGATCCAATATCACCTAAATTATATTTAGCATAAAATTCATTATATAATTCTATTACTACATTTTTAACCTCACGTATTATGGTTGTAACATTTATCGCATCATAATGTAAACATTGATAATACGTACGCAAAAAATCATTTAAGCCATCCAATTTGCAACGCGGATAAAAAACACAAGCAACTAAATAAATAATGGGAATTTCCCTATAATAATGTAGCCACTTCATTTTCATTGCAACTATAGTATGTTGCAATTCAACATCATTTTCATATTCATAAAAAATTCCGACAATATTAGTACACTCTACTAAAAATAAATGTGTAGTAGGATAATAAACACTGGACAAAGTATAAGTTGCATCATTAAAAACCTTTAAAACATCTAAAATTTTTTGGCAAATATCCCACTCTTGTGGGTATAAATTAATCTCGGGTATATTATTAGAAATAAATGCACATAATAAATCTTTATATCTAAAGATTCATTAAGCAAGTGAAAAGTAGAATTCCAACGAGTTGGAACATCTTTTGAAAATCTTTTTGGCCTTTTGCCATTTTCTCTACAAAATCTACCCCATTCTTTCATTTTCTAGGGATGTTTCCATAAAAATTGAATCGCCGTTTTTATTGGTTGAAGAAAAATATCAAGAGTTTTCAAACCATCTTGTACACATAAATTTAAAACATGACAAGCACATCTAATGTAAAAAATTTTTCTGCCAAAAGCGGGTTTACAAATATTTTCTAAATCGGCAATTGAAGCGGTATTTGCCGCAGCATTATCAAAACCAATTGAAAAAATTTTGTTAAGCAAATAATATTCTTCTAAAATTTGCCTAATTATTCTATAAATATTATTTGCCGTATGCTTATCATCGAAAACTCTAAATGCAATAACTCTTTTTTGAATACTCCACTCGTCATCTATCCAATGACATGTTATGCCCATGTAAGAATGATTTTGTCAATGATCACTCCAAATATCACTACCTATATGCACGCATCCATTAAATTGCATAAAAAAGTTTTGTAAATCTTTTCTTCCATTTTTGTAAAGATCTTTAATTACTCGTTTAATTGAATTTCTAGGAACACGTTTTGCTTGTGGAGCACATGCTTTTTGTACAAATTCATTAAAACCAAATCTTTCTCCAAAATTAAATGCTAAATGCTCAACGGAAATAAATTTGCCTAATTCTTCCTTATAAGTTTTTTCATTAAAACGAAATAAAGGGGAAATGTTAGGATTGACGTACCCGGAAATTTGTTGTTGCCCGATATCGATTCCCGTTTCGGTTGGATGTTTGCTCCTAAGATGTCGTTTAAATGTTCCATATCCTTGTCCACCTGTATATTTATATAATTTCCCACAATATTTACAAATTATATCATACCTTTTTTGACCAATATCAAACCTTTCCATTTTCGTGAAATGATTCCAAATGTCAAATGTAAATTCTCGTTTCCCTTCCTTTGTTGTAGATATTTCGGCAGGAAGATGAAAACTTTCTTGCGTCGGGACGCGCTCCACATCGGGAAAAATGTTGATTTCATCATCTTGAAAATCTGCATATTCACGAGATCAAAAGAATGATGGGATTCCGTCGTGATATTCTTACCTTTGCCAGTTGGCACTCGACTTTCACTTGCCATTTTTCGAGTGGATTGAGAGAATTGAGCGAATTAATTGGGAGAATTAAGAAAGAATTGCGTGCATTGAGAGAATTGTGAGTATTGAGAGAATTTGAGAGAATTGTGAGTATTGAGAGAATTTGAGAGAATTTATAAGAAAAAAATGAGAAGAAAATTTAGAATTAAAAAAAAAGAAAAGATAACCGTTGCAATTTTGCAACGGTTATCTTTTTTTTTTTTTAATAGTTTTTTGCTCCGGAGCGCAGCAGGCTGCAGACGCAAGCCTACGCATTATTATTTTATTTTCCTGCAGCGGCTGGGAGCGTGGGGGGTTTTTTTTTTTAAACTTTGCCCGTTGGGCCAACGGGTCACCGCAGATTGCTAGTTTTTTTTTTTTTTTTTTTCGGAACCGGGCCGAACCGCTGGTTCCGGGCCGGTTCCGGCCCCAAACCGCGGGCCCGGGTTTGACCGGTCCGGTTCCGGGCCGAAACCAGCCCGTGGCCACCACTAACTTTGAATATCTATTTCGGACAGGAGTTTTGCTAGCATGTAGGAGTCGTTTTATTAGCGAATAAGTTTGATTTAGCCGATTTGTAGTTAAGGTAGGGATTTATTCGACTTTGACGTTATTTCTCGCCTATTTGATAGGATTGGGAGTTCCTCACATTGAGTAATCTTTATTGTTTGGTCGTCTGTATTTCTCAGTGAGTGGTGCTATCTCTTATTCGAGTTTGTAAACTTATACTTTAAAAGTGATAGACATTAACTATAATATAAGTTATGAAATGACATTTTTGTTGCATTAGAGTCTTAATCAAGCATTTACTACCTTTTACTATTAGTGAATGGTTTGAATAAAGGTATTTGAAAAGATATATATATATATGTATTGTTTTATGAATTGATTTATGAAATGAATTCTAAAAAATGATTTGAAAAATGCTTTATGAAAAGTATTTCTAGCAAATGTGTCGTGAAGTGTTATTTGTTTTGTTTATAAGATTGATTATGAATTGAATTTTTTATATCAGTGGACACATGGTAGTTTTAGGATATCCTTCTAGGTCAAGTCACTAACCGATAATAGGTGGAGAGCTTGACAAAGTGGAATCTTTGTCACCTTGTCACCATAAGTTGTGTCGTGACCATGGTTGAAGATTGAGTAATAGATTGATCAATGAAATGGATCATTGATATGGTTTTTTATAAGGATTGATATCATATTTGATTGGATAAGTATATCATATCTTAAGTTTGGATTATGAGTTTATGTTATTGCTTTATACATATATATATAGTTGCTCGATATACTTAAAAGAGACGTATTACTTACTAGGTTGTTACTGCTCATTCCACTCATATTTCATGTTTTTTAGTCTCCCCAACTAGTGGTTGATAAAACGAGAGCACTTTCGACAATGACCTTTGGGAGAAAGATTTTGGTTATAGGCTTAGCTAGTTGTATTGTTTCTGAGTTGATACTAGTTGGGTTATCTAAGTTCTTAGTTATACATATTCTCTCTCTAATATTGTAACCAAACTATTGATTTATCAGACATATATATATTTCGACAATAGGTTGTTTGTTTCTATTTGAGGCCGCGTCCCTCCGATGGAAGGACGGCGGTATTATCACCCATTTTTTATGGATTCGGAGTGTGACATGATATATAGATTGTGTAACTTTTTTTTGTCGGATATGCCATATCTATTGTCGATTATATAGCTCACGTACCCAATTTTATGATTTTAACGAGTTGGGTCGAGACGATGCAGTTCCAAACTTGTCTCGACTTGACTCCCAATTCCGCTGTTCGATAATTAACCTGAGCACGATTGAGAATGGAAGAATTTGCTCATATTCGATTTGATAAGAAAATCGAAATACTTGAATTCATTTCAACTTGGCGCGACTACAAACATGCCATCACAACGAGCATAATTCGAGGGTTTTTTTCAAAGGGGGAAACAAAATCCCACCACTCCTTCGACCAGGCGGATTGGCGAATGAATTTAAACCCTTTTCGGCGTGGGAACGCGTGCGGCCGACCTCAGCAGAATGCGGCCGTCCACACTCTAGCGTAGCCTCCTCGCCAGATCCACGTGTCATCATCATCGCCGCGGCTCTGCAGCCTTTCTCCGCTACACTTTTCCTTCCGCTCCTCCTTCGCTTTCTCCCCTGCAACTTTTCCCGTCAACGTTTTATTTGCTCGAGAAAACAGCCATAAATCCGCCTCTCTCTGCCTCAACCACCAACCATCTGGAGAGTCCCACGTCTCCGCGTACCAGACTCCCTCCCCGCGCCTCAATTCTCCCGCAGCTCCGCATTTTTTCACCGGTCGCGGTCCCCCGTCTCCTCCCCCCGATCTCCGGCGCCCCTCCGCCATCATGCTGCCACCGCCGCCGTCGCTGAAGGCCGTGACGGTGACCCACGTGCGCTACCACAGGGGCGACCGGCTCGGCCACTTCCTTGCGTGGATCTCGCTCGTCCCCGTCTTCATCAGCCTCGGCGGCTTCGTCTCGCACTTCATCTTCCGCCGCGAGCTGCAGGGGATGTTCTTCTTCCTCGGCCTCCTCGTCTCGCAGCTCATCAGCGAGCACATCAAGGCCTGGGTCCAGCAGGCCCGGCCCGAGACGTGCGCGCTGCTCGAGATGTGCGATTCCCACGGCTGGCCCTCCAGCCACTCGTCCTACATGTTCTTCTTCGCCACGTACTACACCCTGCTCACGTACCGGGGGATCGGCCTCACCGACACCAAGAACAAGCCGCTCGCGTGCTCCCTGCCGTGGTGCTTGGCGGTGCTGACGATGTACTCTAGGGTTTATTTGGGGTACCACACGGTCGGTCAGGTCTTCGCGGGCGCCGCGCTCGGGAGTTTGATCGGATGGGCTTGGTTTTGGCTGGTGAATTCGGTGTTCTGTCGCTACTTCCCGGCGATCGAAGAGAGCGCGTTCGGGAGGAGGTTCTACATCAAGGACACCTCGCATATCCCGAACGTGTTGAAGTTCGAGTACGACAACGCGAGGGCTGCGAGGAAAGACATGGAATGCAAGTGCAACTGAGGCCGGACTGATTGGGAATTCATCTCAATAGGTGTGTGTTCTTCATCGCCGCTCTACTCATTGTTCATGCTTCCCGAGTATCCTTTGCCCATTTTCTTTTATGGATTTGATATTACAAGTTGCCTTTCTGTCGTTCTCTTCGTGTTTGGTATGACTGATTGAAGGAAACAAAAGCTTATCTTGGAAATTTTCCTGCTCTTGTCCTGTTGAATTTCTCGTGTCCGTTTGCACTGCTCCTACCCAATTTATTTTCCTAGACAGCTGATTTACGTGCCGAATAATAACCGTTCATATCTTCTGTTCCCTGCATCACCTTTTCTACCATAAATTAGTTGTTTTAACTTGGAGCTACTTTGGGATTGAGCTTTCGAATTAGTTTCATCAATGTAGTTTATGTCGTGACGATGCGGCATACTGATAGCCCCGAAGTTGAATGACTGCCCATGTCAATTTCTCGTATGCTGAACTAATAGTTTGTTGTTTAGAAATGTCCCTCTTTCTCTAATTAGAGCAGAAAGGAAAACGATTTGATTGAAACTAATTCTGTGCATCATATACACTTTTGTCTGGCTTTGGTATCTATTGACATTCTTCGAGCGAAAATAACCTAAAGGTCTGCACACTTCATTGTACTTCTTCATTTTAGATTCTTTTCATTTTTCTCACTAACGTAAACCAGGAAAATGCCAACTGATGACATAAAGCTGAGAAAGTAGAAGAGGAGATTATGCTAGACTTGATAGTGGCAGAACATGTGTTACGCGGGGTTTTGCATTCCATTGCTATTGCTGATTGAATTTGAGAAAAATCAAGAATCTTTAAATTGGTTCTTCACTTCTCTTGCGAACTTCATATTTGTGAAGCAACATCCTAATTCACTGTTACACCAATTTTTAGAAAAAGACATTTTTTTCTTTGCCTTTTCAAGTCTTCTTGCTTTGTCTCTCTTAAGTATTTATGTGTTTTTAGGTAGTGTAAGTGCAGTCCATCATTTAAATGATTGAAGAATGATCTATGATTAGCTCCTGTGGTATGACTTCTCAGGACTTGCAGCTTCTTTCTTCGTTTATTTCCAAGGGCATATGGCTAGGCAATCTTTTTTCCCTTGAATAGATCTGTTTAACTTATACTACCTGATTTGTACTGCAAATTCAGTTTATTTGTAAGACCACAAAATCCGCTTATATTTGGCTTATGATGCAGTATGTTCAAGGATATGCATATCTGTCTATTGAGAGATGAACACTTACTACTTCAAGCTGCAGCCCAAATTATAAGACATGTAGCTGCTGAAAATTGCCGAAAAAATTAGTTCTTAGCTATTTAGGATGCAAATGACAAACTAAAAGAGTAAGAAGTAATCATCTGCTTGAAGAGCAAAGAATTTTGTGGATTGAAATACTGGATATTAACCCAAAGAATACTGTAGACGTTGTGACTTTAAATATCCTTATGTTCTTGTGCATTTGATGTACTACAACAGTTCGTCCTAACTAAAAATTTATCTTTTCAAGGAAACTTATTATTTGGTTCATGATCTTTCCTAGCTAACACACTCCGTACTCCAATAATCCCAACCTGTTGTTCCTATTTAATCTGCTAATCGAATCAAATTTGAAAATGAACTCGTTATGTTAATTATCTAATAGGCAAGAATTGAATAAATTGGTCATCCAAAAGGATCATTCACATCTCTAAAGTAGTCGATTTTCATACTCACTAAAAAATGTTTCTCCAAATGATTATCTCCTGAAGTTGCGTATATGTTTGATGAAAAATTCATATTATTACGTATTCATTTTATCTTAAAAGGAAGAGTTTGAAGTGTTATTGCATTGATCTGCTTCAAGTCAAAAAAATCATCCAAGAGCAAATTGAAGCTGTGGTGAATAATGGATATCAAGGACATGGATATACATGCATATTACTAATTAACAAACTAGCAAGGAGAACTCATTTAGTGCTTCCTGAAAACTTGTTGGAAGGAAATTTTTTAGAAGCCTTGATATTTACTTTGTTTCAATGTAAATAACTACAAACTGAATATTATCATTGAAAGATCCAAAAGTCCTGGCAAGGATTCAGCCTATGAGGGATAATGAGCTTAAGATGTCATTATTTGTTAATTTATGGACATGGTGAAGTTGTACTTGTGCATGATTGTCTTACCTCGAAATTTGCAGCTACATGATACATTTATCAGTACTGAGAGTCTATTGGAAAGTTCTATGTTAGGAGCACAACTTATATATGTGTTTTTTTAAGCTTTTCCGCTTTTTGGTGACTATACCTTCCGATTGTAATATCCACGTTTCATATCACCTGTTGGAGAAGATTGGTGGCAATTTGGTCAACGACAATTTTTTGGCATATCATCTACCTTACCTCTAGTTTAGAATAATTTTTCTTAATTTTCCTTGGACAATGAATTGAAGAATTGAAGTTATGAGTATCCATGCCTAAGATATCTAGCTTGTCAGGCAGGCATAAGGAATGCAAATTAAAATTTGTTTGATTTTCATGCAGCAAAAGAGGAGTCTAAATGATCATTGTTTGGGGACAGAAAAATGTGTATATCATTGCCACGGGACTAGTGCTAGTAGTATCTCCTCTGTTTTCATGAAATGCAGCATATGATGTCATTGGCTATATCCACGCATAATTTTGCTGGTAGAGCACTCTGGGAAAAATGTTTTGTATTTTGAGGCTTTCAGCTTCCCTGGAGCGCAATCTTTTTCCCTGTCTCCTGGTACATCTGTCATCAATCTGAGCCAGCGGAGTTGGTTTATTAGGAAATTGCTTTCACAAGCCTTCCTTTCTGCATTAAAAATTTGAGTATTTTATATTGATCTACTCACTGGACATCTAGATATTACTTTGGGGTTTTCCAGTTTCCTGTACTTGCACTTGGGCTGGCACGAACCTTTCGAAGTATGATTTTCTCATTTCCTGTTTGTAGATCTTGAACTTACTTTAGAGAAGTGGTGAAAAATGATGCGTGGAGCTAATTTGCATGGTGCAAGTGCCTGGGTAGATGGACCTGGTTAGCACTAGCAGGACCTGTGCCCTAGATACTTCGATTAAATTGTGTTGAAATTGCATCTTGCTTCTGTAAAATGGGCACAACTATTTTGGTGTATCTCTCTCTCCACATACCCACACACATAGATGTATCCTTGGATGTGCCTGTCCTTACGCATGCTTGTGCTTGCGCACGCTTGCAACGAAAGTATGCACCTTCCTCACATATGTTCAATGGTTGTGGTTCTGCCAAAACTTTTTGCTACCATCATAATCTGCAATTTGACTATTTTCATAATCTTTGTTCAATCCAGGTGAAGTGCTCCAGATGATTCATCAGTACAGATGAGGGAATAACATACGTCCTTACCTTCTTCGGATGGCATAGTGTTCGAGGCTAATCTGAGTTTCCCAGGCTAGATTCGAATCCTCATATTAGAATGAATGAGAGAATTTTAATATTCTTGGAGAATTCTGCCTAGTGGATGGAAAGTTCGAGTCTTTATTTTTTCAGTTACTGGAGAAACCGGAAAGATTTGCTTCTAACCTACATCCGGAGGTTCAAATAACGAGTCTAATATGTTGTGACTTGAAATGAAAGCAAGAGTCATGCAAATGTGCTTTCTTTTTCAATTTTATCATGAGAATGCATATATACACTTATATGGGATATCTATTCTAGAACTCTTCTTGAAAGTGTGAAATGCCACTGCCATCTTTCTTCGAGTCTACTAGTTTAATTGAAAAGTATCTGCTGTCTTAGGTTCTCTTGTGGAACCTGCGAATCCTTTTATCAGCATAGAATAGAACGGCCACATCTTCCATTGGCCAAATTGCCTGTATGCAGTATTAGTTTGAACCTGCAATACGATTTCTGAGGACAGGATAGTTTCACTATGACTTGGCGTTCATTGTCCAACTTCATAGGTATATCGATATTAGTTCTTTGGCCGCTACCAATCGGTAATTTTTCTTACTATAATTTCGAGGCAGTAATTTAGTCCTTGAAAAGTACAATACATTACGACTTAAAATATTATGCTACTACTGGCCAGCGATACCGGGTGAGATTATGAACCTATGACAAGTACATCTACACATGCTGAACTGTTGCTGTGGCAGGATTCTTTGGCATCTACCAACAGACTTTCACCTAATGATCTCAAGCTAACGTAGAACAAGATCACTTTGGTCATGTGCGGATACGACGTTAATCATACCTTCAAGGACTACCTTCAGAGTTAAACAATTACACCTTGCGTGCATGTGTTAGCTGATGATGATATGAGTCAATGAACATCAACCGCGTCACGTGTACATATCTTCTCTGTATGTCGTTTAGTTACACATTCCTGGTAGACAGGAAAATAAATCGTCGACCTCTATCTTACTGCAAACTTATCCTACTAAAATCGAAGTACATGGTGGCCGAAATATCTGAAGAGGTGTATCCTCCTGTACAATGTATGTATCCCTCTAGTGACCGTAATGCATGATGATTCCATCAACATGTTGCTGTCTACGTTGGCCCGATTCACGCGAATCGTTTTCCTTATTTGCACAGTAGGAAAGCAAATGCTTATCGACCTTTCTCTAGTCAAATTTCCTATGTTATTATTGCCTGAACGACGGCATTTCCAACTCTGAAGCCCGATAAATGCCCCTGGAAGAACCTCCCTCTTCGACCCTCGCCTCGTAATCCTCGCTGAACGCTTCCTCCGTGATCTCTCTTCTTGCATGACTGCTCGAGGAGGGAGGGCTTTGGTCCGGCGCCCTCGTGGCGGCTCCGAAGGACGACCGTGGAGGGTCGAAATTCGAGGCGGGCCTCGCCCTCGAGGGGGTCGACTCGAGAGACAGAGAAGTCCGAGGGGATTGAAACAAGGAGGATTGTTCCAGTCTACGGCTGTTGTTCCTTCTCTCCCTCACTTCGGCATGCCATTGCTTTATTACGTTTGCCAACTGCTCCTCCAGGACTTTGCCTTTGAAGTGCGAACCCATCTGTGTTCGCACCAAAAAATGACCAACTTATACAGAGAAAATAAAACATATATTGCGATACTTTATATCGTAATAATATTAATAACAATACTAACAAAATATTATATTATGTTATATCATGTTTTACCTGCGTGACAAGCGCATATAGGGGAAGAGTGATGTAGCAACAAAGCACTTGAACTGTAACCCTGATAAAATCAAAAAAATAGATTAAAAAATCATACTCTTGAATGTTAATAATCATAAAATTGAAATATATATGCATATGTATCTTATATATATACACACACACACAAATAAGAATGAAGAGTAGAGGCTAAATAAAGATGTGTAGAAAAAGTTCTTACGCCAACACCACTCTTGTCACAATGATCACGGTGTGCTCATGATAGCAGGAACCCACCCCGAATAGTATCTGACGGAAAATACACAGGAAAAATCGAATTATTAATTCTACTAAATTACAACAAAAAAAAATACTATAAAAAAAAATTTGGGAGGTGCATTAGAACAAAGCCCCAAAAAAACTGCTCACCGTGACCCATATGAAGAACGCGAGTTCGAACGCATTCTGGAAACAGATTACAGAAACAAAACGAAACATGCGTTAGTATTCCAGCAAAACCTAATGTGCGAGCTTTCGAATCCCGGTGTTCAGCAAATAGCTCGCGTCCCTTTGGCGTTGCCATTTCGAGTCGGTGCGAAGAACACGTACCACGAAGAGGGTGTAGTGAAGGAGCGTGAGGACGAATTTGGGATAGCCGAACCAGAACAGGTCGTCGTTCGGCCTCACGAGCGGGGCGCCGATGATGACGCTGTTCTGGTTCTTCATCTGCAGAGCCATTCTCGCTACGATCACTTCCAGTTTGGTCCCAACGATCAACACCAGCTGCAGTTTTCAATATCATCAACGGGTAAAAATTAAATTTAAATTTATCGGACTAAAGTCCTAGACAGAAATTACGTAAATATATCATGAAATCGTGATGAATTTGACGTATTTACCAGGAGCGGGACGTAAGAAACCCAGAGATAAACGTTCCACCCTTGATTTGTTTCATGATAAATTCCAAGAATAATTGTCAGTTGATATTAAGGTTAATAGAAGAGAAGCATTGAAAATTAAACAAATATTGTTGAAAAATTCAGAAATTGGACTGAAGAAATTACCATGGACGTCCACGAGCATGAATATGACGACCACGAACCACATCACGGGGCTGTCAATAATCAATAAATTAAAGTATAAGTACTAATTGAATAGAACATCTAGTACTTAAAAATGATTTGCTAAATCATGCATACTAAACGGTGTTTTGACATTCCGGTCTAAACTGAGGCGTGGGAATTTCTCATTTTAAATTAGAGGTAAAAATCCTAAATCTATTATAATTGTGCCAATTGAGTTCTATACCTTTTTTCTTTTGTCATTGAGTCCTAGACCTTTTGCATTTATGTCAATTCAATCCATCCGTTTAATTTTGATCGGGAATCATTGATATGGACGCCAACCGTCCTACGTGACATGGCCAGTGATGACGTGAACAATTTTTAATAACATTTTAACATTTTTTGAATTTATTTATTTATTTTTTCTTTTCTTCCTCTGGCCAGCAAGGTCGACCTCGCCAGTCCTTGCCTCTGGCTGGTCACCAAGGTCCAGTGACCGGCTAGAGGCAGAAGGGAAGAAAAAAACAGAAATGAAAGAGAAAAGAAAAAAGCAATAAAAAGTTTGAAAAAAAATTAAAACATTTATTGAAAATTGTCCACTTTAGCGCCAGTCGCATTATGTAGGATGACTAACGTTTATGTTAGCGATTTTCGGCCAAAATTGGACGTAGGGACTAACTTGGTACAAATGCAAATGATTTAGGACTCGATTGGAAAAAAAAAACGTTTTTGACTTAATTGGCATAATTGCAATAAATTTTTGACTTTTCTGATAATTTTCCTGGCATATAAGGATACGAAGAATTCGAATCCCTAAGTTTCGATGAATAATGTGTCGGCCCATCAGTAATTATGGCAATTTGGAGTTGCATTATAGTGATATGATAGTCACCTGATGCTGACCACAACCTTGAAGTCTTCCTCTAGAGACCGCTGTATGTACTTTTGGAAATTGAAATTATTATTGCGAGCCGATAAGTGAGCCTGAAAATGAAATGTTGTCACTATCGGATATGACTACTTCACCAATTAATTAATTGATTAATTAACGTGATTGTAAAATAATTACCGAGATGAAACCGTGTCTGAGGGTGAGGTAATCGACTTTCGCGACCGAGTGGAAGAACTGTCTGAAAAAACATTTCTGGACCCAACATCGAAATTGGACATTAATATCAGCAATAATACAAAATTGACCGCTTTATAAAATAAAAATTATAATTTAGATTCCGTTTGTTTCGCGAAAATTGAATAATTTGTAAAACATTTTCTAAAGATGATCACTTGAAATAATTAGTCAATGACAACTATTTTCATTATCGACAAGAAATTATCTCTGAACATTTTCGTGGACGATAACAAATTTTAAAGTAAAAAACTCTCTAAATGATTCATTTTTCGCGAAACGAACCGACCTTAAAGAAAAGATTGATTAGGGTTAGAAACGACTCACGATCCACAAATTGATGGGCGTGTCTGAACACGTTGTCATGTGCCGTCTCCCAAAGGTCGTTTGTCTCGTGAATCTGAATCTGTTTGGATCTGCAACATTAATGTTCTTGTCATGTTAACGAAGGACGACCCCACCAAAAAAAAAGAGAGAAATAAAATAAATAAAATTGCCTGCCTAAAATTAAAAACGTTTTGGAACGATTTATACTTCGAGAAAATTATGAAAATGATTTTACATGGCTTAGAATAATGAGGGAGAAATGGAGTTCATCTGGAAGACCAACCAGAACCAGTTGTTTAAGGAATGTGCTTTTCTTTGAAGTCAACGTCAACTTACCGGTGATATCACGGCATGTCATGTTCATATTGAGATTACTCTCTATAACAATTTCTTTTCAGTTTTATCAATTTTCCCCTTCTTTTTTAATTTGAGAAAAGAAATTATCAGCACAAGCCCTAGAAGGGAAATAAATCCCTTATTTTTTACGGAAAAAGGGGAAAGTTACAACTTATACTTATAATTTTTTACGAGTAGATATATAGATAAAAAAAATGGTATGGCTAGTCACTAGAATTCACGCAGAAGCAAAACTAAGTGTATTTGCAATATATATTCGAGAATGTTCAAGGGTTTAACTTTTGCTCGGATGCTTAATTAAAGTGTCTAATTAGTTCGAAAATTTAAAACCACATAAAATTCGGATATAAAAGAATAGAAAGCGATAGAAAATTTTAAAAAAAAGATAATAAGAATCTCAAATAATGTTTTATTTATTAAGACAAATAGATTTCTTCAATTCTTGAATTTACATATTTATCCACAAAATGTTTATATTAAAAGCCTAGAATAAATCGGACTAAAAAAAAGCCTATAATAAAGGGTTTCTTAGGAATAACATAAGAAACCAGTTACCTAAAAAAAAGCAATAAACATCATATTATTTTTTTTGTTTGCCATAAATTTTCTTTATCAACCAATTATTATTGATTTTTCTGAACCGCAGTTGACTAATCTATTTAAGTGCCTCCAAGTCCTCTGGATTCTGAAGACAAAGGCTTCTAAACTTGGTAGTGGGATTTTCAGAATGCAAACCAATTCATCAAATAATAATTTATTTTTCTGGAGATTATATTAATTTAATTATTTTATCTGGCCAGCCATTTGAGACTTACCCATTGAAATACGTAATTATCTGGTAGACGGATCACCGCCAAATTTAGTCATGCAAGCAACGTCAAATGGACTAAAAGATCGTTCTCCAAAATTGAGGAACTTCTAGATGATACTATGGTCTTCATTTAAATATCATATGAGAGACAAACCCCAGTTTGGTCCAGGTCAACTCAGCCCCCAAAATTAGAATTCTAATAATCTATATTATATTTTGTGTAAAATAACAGAAAAGCGGGCTTTTTAATCTTTTCGCTCTCTTTCCATCGCGATATTATTGGAATTTATATGCAAATTTCATACACTTCGATATTTCCAATGTGTTCATGACTTCGGTCGCGTACATACATACATACATACATACATATGCTTGTAATCTTTCGCATCCACATAATTTGTTTTAGAATAGATGTCATGACCCCATGAATTACTCGGGCTTGATTTTTTTATTTTCTCATATTAATCGCCATGCCTCGCGTCATGTATTATTTACTTTTCAAGGTAACATCGCATGATCTCAGAGGGGTTAAAAATCGAGTGATTTTATTCCTCCTAAAATGAGATTTCTCAACCCTATATTATGATTAATTCTTTTTTTTTACCATAAAAGAGAATTTATCTGCAGCAAAAAAGAATAAAGAGCACGGGTGCATATAAAGATGAACATACCATTGGCGACCAGATACTCGGTAGTTTGAGTTTCTCTTTCCCAAGCTTCCCAACGCCTCATCTGATAAATTTTTATCAATATCAACATGTATTTTTGCATTTATTTCTGCACATAAAGCTTTAATCTATAATTACTTCTAATTTCTGCTGTATATTTATGTATAACGTGGAGATTAATGACATGTTTAATTACCTTTAATCTGCCCAAAGCCATGGTGATAACACTGTACACAATCTGCATTACCGCCAACACGAAGATGAAGATCTGGAGCTGCTGAATCCCTTCTGGGGTCACCAATGACACCTTGTCCTGCAATTTTTTATTTTGTTTATGTTGAATCATCTTCACAAGAAAGAAAAACCCAGAACAGTGGCTTTTACATGCATAATTTTTCAATGGAGGTCATGCCTAAGGATTCGATTCCAAGTTCTAGTTATCGGTACGAACTGATTAGTCCTATTTTATATGTCTGAGTGTATTCCAATAATTGATGAGCTGCCGATATGACGATGTTCGTGGATAAGTGCTTCTTTATTGATCTTCGAACTAAGAAACTACTATTTGTCATGACGATGAACATCGCAATGAAGATTGATTCTGAACATATATCAGCCACAAGGAACGAGAGTTATTGTGCAACGTCATTTATAAGGACGATTGTACTGCAACCAAAAAAAAAAAAATGCGATTGGAAAAGATGAACATTCAAATACTTTCCACCATCTCGTGATTAACTAGATTATTTAGATCTGGTTACCTAATCTCTCTCTCTTTCTCTCATGCATTCATCAAGAGAAAGATCGATTTTTCTGCTACATTTGTAGATATTCCACAATCTTTGGCAAGAAAAAGGATAATACAATATACTAAATACTATCAACACTCTTACCTTGGAGCTGCAAGGATCGGTGGTGTTAGTCGTTGTCGCTGTCGTTGTGTTTTCGTCATCCTCCAGTTGCCGCTGCGGAAGCCATAGAAGTCTCCGATATGTAGCTCCGTTGACTGCCATTGACAAGTTTGCAGATGCTGCCGACAATGCCATCTCCCCCAAGAAGCGCTCGACTTGGAATTTTGCCGTCGATTCGGTGGACGTCGAAGATTGCTTCTTACAAGGAAGCATGGTGTCTGCGAGCTCGGGAGAGATGCAGATGTTTGATATCGAATCTTGGGTCACCGCTAAGAGCAGCGATACGAACCCTAGCAGTATCAACTCTGCAACGAGAATGAAGAAAACTTACTGAGCAGTAAAAGAAAAATATATGATTTTGTCAGGAAGTGTTAGGTAAGCATCGCTTTTGAAATGCACATATAGTCCAAAATGATAACTAGCGAGAGACGCAACAATTGGGTTTCACATGATGAATTATTGAGAAAGACATGGCTTCAGACATGAACAACTTTTCTATACTAAGCAAAGTTCATATTAAACTTCATGAACCAAGCCCAGTGATGATGATTGAAACTAGACTATACCAGATTTAAGTCTCTCCACCGCCTCCGTCAAGGCACGCTTCCGGTGTCTCTTGAGCCACTGTGCCATCATGGAGTTCATATAAGTTCACCGATTGCGGTATCCGAAAAAAAAAAAAAATCAATAAAAAGGAAACAGAAAAATTAGTAAGATCCGATTGATTGCTTGCTTACGTTGGTTAGGAGATGGATGAGGTGCTCGAGAACGAGGGAGGTCGATATGAAGAAGAAGCAAACCACTGCGAGCGCCCACGTCGGCGTGTACTCCAGAGAACTCCCGGTGGTGGCTCCGCTGCTGCCAGCCATGATGTTTGGTATAACTCTCTCCCTTTCTTCTTCTTTTTCTTTTCCCTTTTGGTCTTCCCTCTCTCTGGTGAAACGGAAGACAAGATGAGCGCTGGCGAGACGAAGGCTGGATGGAGAGAGATATCTCTATTTGATAAGTGAAAGCTGGAGAGGACGATATAAGCAGAACACGCACAAAGTCTTTACGCAGAGACGCCTTGTTTGGGAACGCAACGCGGGAGCTGCGTCCCCGTTGTGTTGCGTAGTTCTTCAACGTTCACACTAAATTCCAACTGGGCGGTTTTGGTTTCCGACTGTGACGACCGAGTTTTATTCATGTCTTGGGGCCCCAAAAGAAGAAAGTCTTCATGGAAACCTACTCTCGATACCATTTCAAGCCTTCAATCCTCGCTATTACGTCGCATCGAAGATCGGTAGATATGTCAAGAACGACTAACCCGATTCACACGAATCAAGGCCCCGGAAACGAGTGCTCGTGGCGGCAATCTATATAGTGAATATGTTTGGCCTTCGAGGATCTGCAGTGGGTTCTCCTTGTATTGGGAAAATTACCAAAAAAGTTCTAAATATATTGTAATTGTGTTCTAAATCTTTTGCATTTATACAAATTCAGTCCATCCGGTCAATTTTGACCAGCCGGCGCTGACGTGGCACGACTGACGCCGATACAAATGCAAAATATTTAGGACTCCATTGACACAAAAAAAGGGTTTAGAATTAAATTTGCACAATTGTAATAGGTTTATGAATTTTTTGGTAATTTTCCTATATATTTTGCCATCAACTCCTTCGTTTCTTTCTTTTTCTTGTTCCATTCTTGATTCATTCCCATTTTCGCCTTCTTTCGTTCCAACGTACCAAACGCGTGCTCTATGAATAAATTTGTGAAGACCGGAATGGCACCTTCGCGTGACATCCACCATATATAGTTTCCACAACTAGCAAACAGTAACGAGGAACTTTGAGAGAGCATTTTCGACCGCGTTTGACTTCGACTTCGACATCCGACATGTGATCTTGGTATACTTTCGCTGCTTTTGCTATCTTGTTTTCACGGTCCGCCCCGGGATGTTTTGACTGCATCAAAAGAAATTATCCATACTCGCGTATCAGCCATATCATCCTAGACATTAGGAGCACAAATTTGATAAATATACTATCTATACAACATTTTTTTCGCAATCAGAGGATTATTTTGCTTGTAAAACATTCTCATTGACCGGTTCCGGCAAATGCCGGACATCCTCGAAGTTTGAAGAAGGGAGGGAAGGAAACGCAACAAGAGAGCTCGTTCTTGGAAAGTTACATGTAATCATCTACGTTTGGCTTACTAGTCTTTTCGTCCGATCCATTTTAGGTAAAAAGTTACCAACTTAAAAATACCAGTCCAATGTTGAACAAGCTACATACAATTCGGCACGTCAAATATTTATATGTTTCGGAAGGTTTCGGTAGACCACGAGATTTTTAAAAGAAAAGTAATCACGACGGCAAAATCGGCCGTCGGGAAAATTGAGGCGAGGCGAGGCAACGTGATTTCTATGGCTAAATTTCTTCCGTAGCACGGATCTAATTGACTAAACTAAAGTCTTCTTCCATGTATAATAAGCATCTGGAAATTTATTTTGATGAGATGGGTTGAATCGAAATTCGAATGAAGTTCAATGAATTTGGCATTGACGTATCACTTCTGCTTCGATATACAAGTTTGACCGCAATTGGGCATTTATTTTTGCGGTGCCCCATATTAATTTCCATCTTGGAAAGTTGACGTGCTAGCTCTTTGAGAAAAAGACTCATTTTTTGCTGGTTTTATTCATAAGACTTAGGTCAACACTGATAATTTGTGTCATAAAGAGAAAGTTTGCTTAAACACCCCGCCTTCCAAAAGAAAAAAAGAAAGAAAGAAAGAAAGAAAAACTCCCTTCCATAAAAAATAAAATAAAAACATTTTCTTATTTGTTTATAAACATTAATTAGGACACCGTTTGTTTAGCCGAAAATGAATGATTTTGAGAAATATTTTCGTAAAAATGATTGATTGTATTGCTTGAAATAATTGTTGATGAAAATGTTTTCGTTACCGACAACGGTTTATAACTAAATATTTTCGCAAACGATCGTTCGTTTATTTTTGCAAGCGATACGAACGATTATTTCTTAAAAAAAAATATTAAAACAAAGGCGCCCTAAGACTTAATTTATCAATTTATTATAGTTGAAATGACATATGATAGTCTCCGTCCTCATATCAATGAGAGAGACCCGGAGCCTGAAGCAGCTAGAGCAACGGTCTTCCATATCTATCTTTATTTATCCTTATATGTCGATAATTTAATACTAAGGTCTTAATTTACACGTGTCATTTCATTCTAGCTATAGATCACTGTGCATGCATCACATTACGAATCAAGTCGCAAGTGTTTTTTTTGCCCTTTCCTCTCTTCACATTTTCCAGGTTCCTTGGTGTCAAAAGTCAAAGATGACCTGCGAGTTCCGACGACTTGATTTCTAAGAAGTCAACCATGATGTTATAAAGAAATTGGCATTTAAAAGAATGACCAGAAATCCTTGGAGATTGCTGGTCAATGAAAATGTCGACCAAGGAAAAGTCGAGAGCCTTCGTCAAGGAAGTCGAAAACTAATGGTTGTTTGTTTAACTTTTTTTGTTTGGCCGGAAAGCAATGATTGTTGTTCAAAGATGTGGTTTTGATTAAATCAATGAGGTTATTATAGAATATTAAAAGGTGACTAATGATTATGTCGACTTGATATTCAATCGAAGATTAAATTGTATCGCGGATAAGAATTGTATGCTGCGACCGCATCATTGCCGTATGATTTGCATCAAGAGAAACGACACCCTTTAGGGATGAGGAATTCCCTCGTAATATCAAGTTGGATTGAAGTTAGGATTCGGTATTTATGACATTTAATCCCCACTGTATATCATGGTTTGATGTTAGTACACTAAGGAATTCAATACGAAAGATCAATAATGTGTAAGTTCGAAATAGAAAACAATGATCAAAACGAGAGTTCCAAAATTTAAATGAGTAGTTATGAGTATGAGATAGTTGATTTCTTAATTCCAATCATGTGGAAATCAATGCCAATTTTTTTTTTTGAAGATTCACTGATCGAAGTTCAGAATCACAAGTATGCATATTTCGATTTTTTTTTTATAACAAAGAAGCCCACCTAAGAGAGGTAAATTCCGAACCTTTAAAATGATCCACCAATCTAATAAGACCAAGTAAGATACGAGACAAACCCCAAATGCCTAACCTACACATGGAATGGTTTCTATTTGATGGCATGGCAATCATAATTAGGTCTTGCACTAATGATAATCCACATGACAAAATTGAGTTTTCTAAAGCCTAATTTTAAACAAAAAAGAAATAAAACCTTGGCCCACGAATTTTGTTTTGGACTCTATTCCCTTGAACTTGAATCGTGGGATCCAAAGAATCGTCCACGACTCGGCAAATCCCTGCTAAGCTTTTGACCATCGGGCTCTTGTGCTTCCTGCTAACGCAAAGCATGGATCCCGCGAATGAAATATTACAAAAGTAGAACAAAGATTGACAGTCGCAAGCTGGTCGCACACGGGCATTTGGTCTAGTGGTATGATTCTCGCTTAGGGTGCGAGAGGTCCCGAGTTCAATTCTCGGAATGCCCCGTTTCCTTCCTTTTTCCCCATGGCAATCCCACATTCCCATCTTGGCAAATCCCATTTAAAAGAAGAAAGAACGTGGTAAAAGACCACATTGAATATCGAGTAAGAGTTCAAGTCCGAGGACCAATGGTGCGGTTATCACGATGTGTTTCACTTTGATCATTGCATTGGAATCACGTGGAACGCGTCGGAATTACCTTCACACGGTAGGACCGGAGAGAAATTTCCTAAGAACGAAGCTCAGAGACAACAGATCATAATCGCAAAGTCAATCACCAAAAGAAAAAGAAAAGCGAACCTAAGCGTCCCTCAACAATCACTCAAAAGAGGTGAAACATACGTCGCTCGGAAAGTTCATCCTCACGAGGTCCCTCTCTCGATTCCCCTTTTCTATCACATTCCAAAGGAACTAAAGAATCATATGACCTGATCCACATCCACGCTACATTATAAACTTAAATTGGCGTCCACAAATCATTATGGAAGCCCGAAATAAATGAATAGAATCTTTCAGATAATCCCTATACAAGTCCCCTAAGCATCTTTAGCCTCCATTTGGAGCTGAGTATTTGTTTCGAATATGTACATGACAAGGGAGCAAAGACGAGAAGAATAAACTTAGGCTTGCTTCATACCCTCGTCCAGCGCCGGAGCTTTGCAAATTGGGCACAAGTTCTTCATCGATAGCCACTTCCTTATGCAGCCCGCATGGTAATCATGGCCACAAGTTTTCAATGCCCCCATGTAGTCCATGTTTTGGTACTCCTCCTGCAAGAGCGGGCAAGATTTCAAGCTGCTAATCAAACATTCTATATTTTATGCACAACATTAACGTCTATAGTAATTACTTGGCTGATTGATGCAAAAAGTCACGGAGACGGCAGCCTCAAAAGTACTTCAATTATGACCATACTACCGATTAAAAGGATTGAGAAACTTTAAGGAGTGATGCTAGGTTGCATTTTGGGTATTTCAACAAGTCCCCGATATGTACTATCTGTTCATGCAATTAAGACAAATCACTAAAAACTGAAAGCTTACCAGGCAGATAACACATCTACTTTGATCCTGAAATTTCTCTGATGAATATTGTACAGTTTCTTTCAAACATTTTGCTATTGAATCCTCAGACAAGCCTGTACTGACATTACCAATCCTTTCCCCTAATGCCAGCAGCTCCTGCTCAAATACAGACATTTAATATCGAGGAACCAAAATATCAAGAATAATAGGGAAAATGCAATACTCATATTCACCTCATAGCCCATGTTATCTATGTCTAGCCTCAAGTCTCGGTGCTCATCAAACACACTTCTTGAAGCATAAAAGCCTGAGCGATCCGCAATCATGAATCCCTTCAAAAAAATTAAAAACTGAAAAATGAGAAACAATGCAATATACTAATAAAAAACATTTTTATGGTAAAGTAAACATCTGATTAGGAGTTGAGGAAGACCAAAAGAAAAAAAACTACGTAGAGACATCTATGCACTTCACGCGTTCATCACTATTTACAGTCCAAACAACGCAGACAAACTGGCTCTATGATCATTGATTTCAAGTTCATTCCACTATGCAAACGTCAACCAGGTCAACTAGTCATTTACAGTAGAATATTACTATCTGTTTTAGCCAGACTCTTCTTTTAAATAACCATATGTCAATACAGTTTTCTCTGAGAGAATAAAATCATCTTCTAACTAGCAATAAGGCCATAATCGCTCCAAGGACCCATAAACCAACCACACAAGTTTCATAGGGCAGGTATCGTCACAAATGAACCTGCATCTAGAGCCGTCACAAAGCCACATAATATTTACACAACTTCCAATCGAAAGAGATCTCGCTTAAAGAAAACCTCTGGAAAACCTTTTCCCCAATGTTGACAATTTCCTAAACTTCATCTCCTCCTAACTTATCATAATATCATTTCTCATTACAACGAATAACTGGAAACAGGGAAAAGCATATACACTTTTAACTAAAACTTCAATCATTGCAGAGCATCTTGATGAGAAACCAAGTGCCACTTCCGTGGCTCCTAATAATTAATCAATTTGGTAAATAAGTTGCATGTTTTGCAACCCAAAAAGACCATTTTCCCCCTGAATGCATATTCATCTTCCCCAAGAATGACTACACACCTCATATTCTAATTGATCGTGGCCACTTCCTTCATCAGGAAATGACCGAAATCTTTCAGTAGATACCCTTGATCTCCGAGCCCCATCATTGTTACGCCATCCTATAGCAGAAAGTGGTCTTGGATGTCTAGAGTAACCATCTGCAACTGATGGCAGTCTCTCTTCTGAAGGTCCCACTTGTAGAGATCGTAAGCCGCTTGAAGAAGGCCGGGGATCTCGGCTAGATCTTTGAGAAGAGATGCTACGAACACTTCTCAGTGGCTGGCTTGAGGATCCGAGATGACCTTGACGGAGGATAGAATTTCTCCTAGAAATAAAATCAGATCCACCAGTCTCAATGGGAGAACCAACAGTACTGCTTCCACCAAAAGACTGGTTTGGTCCGTCTCTATATCCACCTACATCCACAAGTTTTCCAAATTGGACCCCTACAAAGAGCATTACGCAAAAATCGAATGCGCGATTAAAAATTGAGTTTAAAACGTACCTGGCATTGACATCCTACCATGAGCAGGAGGAACAGTGGTATGGCTCCAGTCACATGTCAGACCATTAGACTGACCTTGAAGATCTACCACGCGAGAATGCTCAACCGGGTTGCTTGTATAAATAAAATTGTGCGGATTGGTTGGCATATGTGCCCTGGACACATTGGTATCTAATTCAACCCCGTAACGACTTCTCACGTTCCTTAAAGGACCCTCACCCCTGATTGAAAGGCTGTTGGGCCCATTGTAGGTGTAATCTCCATTAGCAGAGAGATGATCCCAAGGCGCATGAAGCGAGTCAATGTCTGGTTCGTCCAGCTGTAATTCAGAAGAGACAGGAGGAGCAGAGGAACTTCCGCTTCCAGGACAGTAGTATCTGCTACTACTGCCTCTCTCACACAATGACGGTATTACAGGGCTTTTTCTCTTAAGGTGTCCTCTTCCACCATCAGCCGTGAGATCAATAAATCCACCATCAACACCATATGGCACATGCCCATTGTAATTCGACAATGATGACGATGACGATGATCCATGACATGCATAATTTTCTGTCGATGCCCTGAATGTCCCCATGTTTGGTGCATGCACAAAAGAATCCTGAGATAGCCCAGCAACATTGGGTTGACAATGTGGCAACACATCATTGTGACCAAGAGGAACATATTCACTTGACCTTGGTGCAGTCCAATGAGAAGCATAATGTGCTCCATTCACTGCCACATTCTCCACAGGATAAAAGTAAGTACCATTCTCTACAGAACTTCCCCTGGCTGCATCCATTTGAAAAATTGAGTAAAGTAGAGCAAGAGCTATAAATAAATAATCTACAAACACTTACACAACTAAAGTCTTATGCATTCACCTAAATGAACTCCTGAATCCCTGATATGTTGAATGCATACCCATTAGTAAAAAATGCATAGAAACAAATTATATATCATAAATAAAAATTAGCAAGTTATAAGTTCTAATTGTTGCCTACACAAATACTTAATTCACATTGGGGGGAATAAAGACTTGGCAGATCTGACACTGTTAAGCAATGATTGTCCTCTTTTTGGGTGCTAAAAGACACAGGTGTAGTGAGCAAGAAAAGCATGCAACATATAACAAGTAACAACCAAGTACCTAATTGCATATTCGGTTGCTCCATATTCATGTTATTCCAGCTTTGAGCATGATTACCCTCAAATGTCTGAGATGCACCAAACAAATGCCTATGCCCCATAACTGCACAAAGAGAAGCCAAAGATGAGCCAAATCCCAAAGTGAAAAGACACCCTGCGTCAGATGAAAGATAATTAAAACATTGTTCATTAACATAATATCTTTCAGATTAAGTAATCAGCATCAATCCACCAGAGTTCATGCAAATTATTTCTTATTTCATGGCATGCTACCTGTTCTGCTAAATACTGGCAAACCCTTCTATGGTAAATTAATCTGATTTCTTGGGAAACCATCTTCTCTCAAATCTCAACAATGTAGTCGACCCAAAACAAAAAAAAAATCTCAACAATGTCCTCAACATTGGATTCAACAGCCTTCCACTAGATATGGTAAATACTAATGCTCGGCAAAGCATTCTTAAAAGGTCTAGGGGCCATTATCCGATGAAATTTTGGTTCAAAACTGTCTCTGGCAGTAAATGTACGGTTTCAACCTTCTATTCTCTATAGATCACTGTATGTATAGCTGCAAGAGATTCATATAGGAAGTCATAAGCCCTTTTAACATGTTTCTAAATCCAAAAGGCAAGAAAAAACAAAGAGCTGATCCTTGTTTAGGAGAGAGTAGAGAGTGGATAATAATTTGGCATTTTTTTCCCTTCTTTTCTTAATCTCATGTCACCCACGTCACAAGGCAAGCCATCACACCAAACTTCAACGCTTCTGATGAAATTCAATGTCATGTCTAAGCATAACATCAAGGACTTTAACAGCTAATGTAGCTTGCTCGTTCCATCTCATTACATTCAAAGATTTCGTAATGTAGGTGCAAGCAGTGGATAGGTAAACAAGTATGCCCAGACAACATTTTAATCAAGTTCGTCCTTCTTACTGTACTGCACTTTGCATGATACATATCTAGAGTCCCATATACTGTCTATGTGAATGTCAGCATTAGTAAATTATTTTTACTATTCCGGAAGGTTTCAATCTTGAAATTTCCAGGGAGTGTACTATGCATTCGCAACATAGATATCCCCACAATCATGTTTGAGACATATACATACCACAGTCCATCAAGAAATGTGAAAAGACCAAGTAAGAATAGAAACTTCACTAATACAACCAAGCTTCTGTTAGTATTGAAAAAGATATGTTTGCTAATGCATTTCAGACAGAGAGAAGATAATACAACCCAATCCCAAAAGCACACGGTACTTAAACTATTATTTTACGTTTTCACTGGTACTGAAGAATTTTAAGACCTACTGAATATAGTCAGAAACTAAAATTAGCACGATAAAACACAAATAGGAAAGGAAGAAAGAAAGCAACAGCACAAATTTCTCAACAAATATACAACTTTTGAATGCCATCTCTGCAAGTGAAACATAATGAAAATATTCATCTGCATTTATGAAGGATGTCTCATCAATTACAGAGACAAAAAACCAAAGAAATGCGAGTAGTCCTCCATTTATTGCTTCTAAACTTTTCAGCTCCTACTGCATTTATTCAATGCGACAAGATATTTGGTCACAGTGTTTTATTAGATCAATTGATTCTCAACAATTGGAGATATATAGTAGAGTTCGTCCGCCAATGATTGATGACATATTGAAGATAAAATCAACTATAGTTTCGACCCGCTGAAGAAAAAGACCAATTAGAATTCAGAGTGCAGTATAGTACTCTTCAAACCAATATCGGGTTCTCTCTTGAAGAGGGACAAATTATAGGAGATCAGGTAACAATTGCGATATGCACATACTGATCAAGAAGCAGGAAATGGGATAATAAACAGATTTTGACATGCTTTTATCTTTTCTAACTCTCCTTAAAAAAAAGGTTCTTCAAAATAATCAATGAGACTTCATCTGCCCCATTAATCGTAAGATCGAGAACATATCTTGTGATACCTTCAACAGAAAGGATTCAGCAGTACATAACATCCCCAAAAAGTTAAAGACAAGACAAGAAAACCAATGTGACTATAAAAAAAAGATACGCATGCAGAAAGAAGGCTGAAAGGAAGAAAGAAGATAACATATGACACGACTTCCTGAGACATCTTGAGCATAACATAAGACTGTTTGCCATGCAAAAGCATCAGAAATACATCATATTAAATATCAATAGCCAGTGGTCCATTTCTTTCTTTACAGTAGCCCAAACTAAATCCAACTCATAAAAGACAAGTTTACCCTTGTTTCACAGTATCATCTTGCCATGCAACAAAACAGAAGTGTAAAGAGACACAGCAGCATTCTTTTCTTTGCTTGTTTCACCCTAAAGGATGTCAAGGTAATCTCCATGTAACTATGAAGCTCAAAGTAAGAGGCAATTACATAATGCTGGTGCTTAAATAACATTTTCTTCCTGATAGTTCATGCAACAGATATTGGGCAAATGGAGAGCTAGAAGCACATACAGCCATACAGAGAGGGCTCAATAATTCATTAACATTAAGGAACAGAATATCAAGACAGAAAAAGTTTAAATATTAGAAAAGTCCAAGCCACACTAAAAAACCTCTGCTGATTTAGTTATAAGTGAATCAAGGTTTACTGTGTAAGATTTCAACTCAGTAACTATCCTTCATTTCTCTGGAGAAGTAAGCTGTTAAGTAACCTGATAATGGAATTGACAAACTTATCACTAGTTACATAGAATATAACAAAATTTCCAAATACTGCTCACATTTTCATTTCTTGTAAGATTGATACATCTATTCTCCATGAGGAGCACATAGTATTAAATACGTGTCTCTCCAATATTGACAAAACAACCATCAAAAGGCCCACCAGCAGAGCCAGGTTGATCACTATCTTTTCTTCAAGTATGTGTGTTTACTAATACAAACAGACGGAGATACTCCTAGAAAGGCGGAGCCTTGTGAACATGGTCAACTGGACTTCCTGGATACAACCATCGTCAAGCTAATAGAAAATGCCCCTGCAAGATTAGTTTAGCCAAAATCCGATGAACCGTTAGACCCCATCTTCTGAGAAATCATAGCTAGACAAGTGGATATATCCTACAATCAAGCCCATATGCATCTCCATAGAGGGTGATAACTATCTCAGCTCACAACGTCAGGCCCCTTGATTTTGAATTAATGATCACACCGATGCAAAAGCCAATTGCTCATTGAAAACTCATTTGAATCTCACAAGGCCCTCTAACAGGGAGCACACCGGGAAAGCATTATTCCACTTCTTGTTAGAGGGTTACTAACTCCCAGTCCTCAACACTACAAGAGAATGTCGCCACAATAAATGGAACTTCCACAGGAGCGCACGCAGATCTGAAGGACCAGAGCTAGTCAGCAAAACCCTCATACTCATCGTGATAGGCTTTCCTTCGAATGGCAGACGGTAGTAATGTACAACTAGAACCCTGTGGAAAAGTTAAGTCGAGTTGTGGAGATCTATATTGATCAGAAGAAATCGGCAAGTCCTACTATAATAAAGATCAATTGATATCCCAGGAACCAGACCATCGAAAAACACTCCAAGGAAGCAGGGCACCTTAAAAGTCCAGAAGATGGGATCACACAATCAAATTAGGTAGCTTCTTCGATCACCTGATAAATAAATAAAAAAGTGCCTGCATCGCCATTTCCGGTTCAGAATGTATATAGCAAAGGCTATGACTAAGCTAAAACTAGTCATCAACATCTAACTAAACAAAGCCCCTCTAAAATAGCTACCAAATGAAGTAAAATGAAGACTACATAACCTGTTTTATTCTGAAAAAATGAAGAGCAGGCTAAATAACCTCTTGAGCACCTGTACTTATCAACTCAAACATGAATGAAAAGGGGACTCAGACAAGAATTTATCAGAGAGAGAGAGAGAGAGAGAGAGAGAGAGAGAGAGAGAGAGAGAGAGAGAGAGAGAGAAAGAGAGAAAAAGAGACTGATGTAGGTGGATGCCACACGATTCAACAATCCTCACCTGCATATGAAGACATGTTCTTCCAAATTCTCCATAGAATAAAAGTCAAGCAACAAAAATCACACCAATTGTACCGAACAAAACCTGCACAACAGAAACAGGCAAACCTAGTCGATGCCAAAGGTAATTCAATTGAACTCTAGGTCCCAATGATATCAAGCCATCATGCTTGCAACATTAGGTCCAGGAGATACTATAAGCCTAGTCTACGCACTATGACATCCTCTGTGATTTTCTTTTCGAGGACTTCAGCATTTCTACAATTTTCCATTCATCAGGCATTATGAAAAACTAAATCAATCGCACACTTTTATGTGCTTAAAAAAACAATGATTAAGTACAAACTATGTCCACTTGAAATGATATGAAAGTGGTAGATAACCAGAAATCCATAAGCACTGGGCAGGTACTTATTGTATACAATCATTGCGATACACTTGTTGGCCTATGTGAAGATGTCAATATACTCCCAAGCCTAAGAGAAGGGCTTTCTATTTGAGTATCTAATTGGAAAAAAAGGTCCATATTAGACAAAAATAAACCAGCAGATATACAGAAAAAAGCACAAGTGGGCATTCTTTTTGTTCAATAGGCGCTGCTAATTTGAAGGCCTCTGTGAAGGTCAAACGATAGTCTAAAGCCTAAGCAACTGGCTTTCTATTTGAGTAATTTATTGATCATTATCGCCACTGATTTTGTATACAGACACTGGAAAGAGAATGTTAGATGAAGAAAATTAGAATGAATAGTACTGGTTGTGTTAATCCATGAGTTTTCATTTTTGCCATCATATGACAGAGTTGGAAATAAAGATACATAGAGCAACAACTGTCCATGTACCCCCCTCCTTCCAATCTTCATCGTAGCATCAACTGACCCAGAATGTTAAGTTTAGAAATTCCACGACATCTGAATTGATCATCGCGTAAGGTAATCCTATTGTGACATTAAACCCTCCCCACATAGAAACTTTCCTGGTATCAGTACTCCACTACCCCAACTACCACTCAAAGACAGAGCCGGAGAAGGAAGAGAGAGAGAGAGAGAGAGGGAGAGAGAGAGAGAGAGAGGAACTTGTAACCGTTGGTGTAGCTTCCTAAATATTCATAACAGCGAAGCTCCAGCATAGCCTAGGAGAAAGATGGAAACAACAAGGTGAGGGGTTCTAAATAGCAACTTCTATGACCGATAAAGTACGGACACTGTTAATAATCGCCATCCTCGCGATCAACCGACCTCAGACCAACGATCACCGACCCGGTGGAAGGAAAAACTTCTTAGGATGCGCGAAACAATCAATTAAAGGGGGAGAGGGGGGTCAAAACATAAAGTCAGGATAGGGAAGATGAACCAACTACCCACATCCAAAGCCCACCAACGTCACACATCCCACGGTTCACGTCACCGGATTCCCTCGCGATATCAAGCCGCGATTCACACGCACACGAGAGATTACGAGCAAGGCCAAAACACAACAAGCTGGAAACGGACCGTCGCAAAAAAAAACACGACCGGCGACCCTCGATTTCGGAAGGATCGCGAGAGGTAACACCGAACTTACTTCCCACAACAGGTGATCGGAGCCGGATAATCGGGAAATTCCGCAGCGCGCGACCACGATCGGGACCAACCACGCAATCGCAAATGAACACCGCACACCGACACGGAAGCCGACAATCTTAACGGCGACGATCGATCCATCGATCGATCGGAGCGGAATTGGAAGAGTATCTGCGGGGGAGAGAGAGTACCTTCGAGGTCGATTCGATCGGAGGTCGCCGGGCCGGGGAGGAACGATCGCCGGGAGCCAGAGCAAGCGAGCGAGGAAGCAAGAGAGAGAGAGAGCTTTTGCCGTGACGGAAGGTGATTTATATATAAGCGCAGTTGGGTGCGTTGCAGACGGAGGAAATCTGTTGCTCCGCTGAGACGTTGTCGTATGCTCTCGCGCTTCCGGAGACGTACCCGAATTCTTTCCTTGCTAGAGTATTTATTTTTTTATATAATTATATATATATTGGATTCTGATAAAATAAAATAAAATTATAATGACAAAAAGTCACGTGTGTGCCCCTACTAGGAAGTTTTAGCAACAGGACGTTTATGTCGACATTCTAACGATGGGTTGATTTTTCTTTTTTCTTTTTTCTTTTTCATAAAAAAGGGCGAGGAGAGACGATCGCCGGTGGCCCCTCCATCGGACCCCCCCTCTCCGTCGATCGTGATGTGTATCGTAGTGGGGCCATATTCATATATGGCGAAGGTAAGGAGATATTGTCGAACTTCAACTCATATTCAGGGCGCTTGTCAAATATTTTTACTAAAGGGATCTTTGATATTCGATGTATGGTCAGGTATATCACGATGACAATCAATATATCGGGAATCGCAATATTTTCTTATGGTTGCTTAACAAGTGTTTCTGAGATGCCTTTTAAGTGAATCTTATTTTATATTGGGGTCTTTATACTTTTTCAGAAACACTTCATTGCTTCGGCTAGAAATAGTTGGTCCTTCGGAAGGAAAAATCTAGCTGAAATTTTCGAGTATCACGCGAAGAATGCGACTGACCGATAATCTTGTCGATTTGGCCCGATCATTTTCTAAATCTTTTATAAAGAGATAAGTTCAACAGGATCCTCCCATCGGAAATTTGCCTTTGTTACTATCAAAAGTCGCTTAAGCGTGTGTAGGACGAATCAAATGAGCAATACCAGAAAGAATCTTTCGATTCCCTTTTCAATAGAAAATCCAAGACTCAACCAAACCCACAAAATTTTGAGTGCCCGATTGCATTTTCCGTATCCATTTTGAGTATTCGTTAAGCATAGTGTTTGTCTGCTCTTTCGTTTGTGTCGCAAGAGGGGCGAATAAGAAAGGCGGATGCGTCACGCATATAATGTAGCTGCCCAGAAGGGTGAACATTAGGACAAACACCACCGGTTGGACCGGTCGCTTGGGCCCTTTCTTCTTTTCTTTCTTACTATTGTTTGTCGCGTATGGATAAAGAAAGCCGCACTTCGTTTCTTGTTTGACGAGTTGCAAGTCTCTTCTTCCAACCCGAACCACCCAAAAAAAAAATAAAATTAAAAAAGAGTTGCGAGTCCATTCTTGCTGTTTGACACGGTAGAAAGTAGTGATATGGATTAGATAGTTGTTTATTGCTATAACAACGGGGGGAAAACACACACTATAATTATGCTAATGACGCTTTTGGGGGTTGCATTTGGTTTCATTTTATGCCTTCAAACTTATCTTGGGTTTGCTTTCCCTCTTTTGCATATGATAACGTGCACCGGTTCGGCTCGAATCGTGCGGAGCGATGGATTGCGAATCTAGTTTTGACCGCTCTAAGAACGCTCGACTAACGCGCTATAAAAACTACTAGCACTTGTGTGCGTTTTAATAGCGTGAGTTCTTCCATTTGGGGAATATTAGTATATATTTCAGCATAGATTATTTGCAAAATTGTATGGTGTTTTATAAGAATCTCCCTCTTTGAAATAAGACGAAGGCAGGATCCTTAGTTCAAATTATGTGTTGATGTAAAATATAAGACTTGATAACAATTAGGAAATCATTAATTTTTGTTGTTATAAATCATAAAAGGATTTTATATGTAATTAACGACACTATCGTAATATTGAGAGAAAATAATAAATATTATTTAAGGAAATATTTAATAGGAAGACTCAAATAATATAAATTTTTTTCAATAATTGCTAATTTGCAATATTAAAACTCATTCTAATTAATGTTTTTCTTTTCTTTTTGGTGAACAAAACTCATGTTATCTGATGAGGCCAAGTACAAATTCTAGCAGCAAAATTAGCGGAGAGTGTAAAAAAAAAAAAGTCATTGAAAGGAAAGGGATTAGAGTTTCGGGGTAATAACATTAAAATCTCAAATTGTGTTAAAGCTGGGATTTTTTTTGGGTAAATGGGACACGATTGTATCAGTTTGTGGTACATATGTTGCCGATGTACCAATTTGGATTTTTTTACGACACAAAAATTAATTTGGGGTAAATTTAATACGATTGTACCAATTTGAAGTTTTTTGGTAGTATTAATCTTATAAAATTTCTTACGTATTGTTTGCTAAGAGCATTTTACCTGTTTGGCGTTACATGTATAATACAGGTCCGATTTTTTTTACACTACGGGTTTATAATCTCATGTTATAATCGCAATATTGTCTTATGCAGTTGCTTAGTAAGTGTTTTTTAGGCCCCTTTTAAGTAAATCCTTTTGGTATATGGGTGTTTATACTTTTTCAGAGACACTTCACTATTTCGGCTAGGATTAGTTAGTTCTTCGGAAGAAAAAATCTATCGGAAATTTCCAAGTATTATGCAAAGATTGCAATTGACCGGTAAACTTTTCGATTTGGTCCGATCAATTTCTAAACCTTTTACAAAGAGAAAAGTTCAACAAGATCCTCTCACTGGAAATTTGCCTTAGTTACTATAAAAAATCGCTCTAGCGCATGCGGGACGAATCAAATGAGTAATATAACCAAAAGAATTTCCCAATGCCCTTTTCCGTAGAAAATTCAAGACTCTGTTAAATCATTAAAAGATTTAGAGCGTAATCGTATTTTTTTCCGTATAAAATTTAGGACACGGCAATTTTTTTTCCTCTCGCATTCCATACGTCGTGTCAAGTCAAATTCGAGTATTTATTGGGCACAGACTTTGGGTGCCTTTTTTTTCTATTTTAATAAATGTTAGCTGCGGAAAAGGGGAACGTGAGGATAATTGCACCGATTGCCTTTGACCTTTCTTCTTTGCTTTGCAGGACTTGAGCGCGTTCCATTTCCACACGCATTATTGAGGACTTCCCATGCAATGTAATGTTCCAGTTTTGCTTACCTTTTGGCTCAGAGGCGACTTTTGATCTTTCCTCTTCATCTTCGTTCCTCCTCTCTTCCCTTTCTCGATCTTCTCTCTGCTCAAAGCTTCACTGCAGGCCATGGTTTCACTCTGCAGTCTCCCCTTTTTCTTTCTTTCTTTTTCCTTCGTTTTTCTATTGCGTTTCTCAAACTTCATTGACGCTCGTCAAGCTCAAGATTATGTTTATCCAACCGCTACGCTTTCAACACGGTGGACGATTAACGCAACAGCTTGTCACTCCGCCCGATATGGAGATGGATCGATCGTGCGGGCAATTCTACTCCCAGGCAGAGGAGCTTCTAGCCCTGCCTTCGCCTGTGGCTTCTACTGTAATGGTGACTGCAACACTTACCTCTTTGCTGTTTTCATCGTTCGAGTAAACAGTAGTGCCTTAATTGCTATTTCCCGTTTGACAAATCCACGAGTAGTGTGGTCTGCCAATCGAAACAATCTCGTACAGATCGGCGCGACGTTGGAGCTCACGTCCGAAGGCGATTTGGTGTTGAAAGATGCTGATGGTACGGTTGCTTGGTCCACAAACACTTCTGGTAAATCCGTTGTAGGCTTGAAATTGACAGATTTGGGAAACCTCGTGTTGTTTGATAAGGACAATGCGACTGTTTGGCAGTCTTTTGATGAGCCAACCGACTCACTTGTCCCCGGACAAAAGTTGAGGCAGGGGCAAAGATTGATGCCGAGTGTTTCCGAGACAAATTGGACCGTTGACGGTATGATTACGCTTTCCGTGAATGGCAGTGTTTTATCTGCTCAAGTGGAGACTCATCCTCCTCAGGTCTATGTCCAGTTTTCTGCTGTAACCGAGAGTGAAAGGATCGAGAATCCATATTTTGGGTTTTTAAATGGAAGCTTGACTTTGTACGTAAATTCTGCCTTGAATTCAACCTTAATTAAGGTCGATGGAACATATTCTATGCCATACATGAAGCTGGGCTCGGATGGGCATTTGAGAGTGTATGGTTGGATGTCAGCTCTGTGGGGAGAAGTGGCCGATCTTTTCAGTGTGTCTATGGGGGACTGTGGCTATCCGAGAGTGTGTGGGCAATATGGAATTTGCTCCAGTGGGCAATGTAGTTGTCCGGCTTTGAGTGGGGGGACGAGCTATTTCCAACAAGTAAATGATAGGCAGCCTAATCTTGGGTGTTCCCAGATTGTTCCATTGTCTTGTGGAACTTCACAACATCAAAGTCTTATGGAGCTAAAAAATATCATGTATTTCAGTGTTACGCCAGATCTCATGGATATAGATGCTTCAAGTTGTAAAGAGGCCTGCACAAAGAACTGTTCGTGCAAAGCAGCTATATTTCGGTATTATTCGAATCGCACTAGCGGCAGGTGTTACTTACCAACTCAGGTGTTTTCACTTATGAATGTTGACAAGACTGAGTCTAACTATACTTCTATTGCTTACCTTAAAGTACAGAATGTGGCCACTGAAGCTCCTAATCAAAATGGGGCCAATGAACCTCCTAATACTTTGGTTGACAATCAAAGGAGCAGCCGTCTCCCTGTAATACTTGGGTCCAGCCTCGGAGCTCTCTTTGCGATGATGATTCTCATCGTAGCCATAGCTTTGTTTGTTCAGAAGAGAGATGATAATCAAACGGAGGAGGATTACCTTGATCAAGTACCAGGATTGCCTACTAGATTCACGTATGATGATCTAAAAGCCATCACAGACGAATTTAGTAAAAAGCTTGGCGAAGGTGGTTTTGGTTCTGTTTTCGAAGGTACTCTAGGTGACGGCACAAAAGTTGCAGTAAAACGCCTTGATGGTTTTGGGCAGGTTAAGAAATCCTTTCTAGCTGAAGTTGAGACTATCGGCAACATCCATCATGTGAACTTGGTAAGACTCTTGGGATTTTGCGCTGAGAAATCCCACAGGCTCCTTATCTATGAGTACATGTCGAATGGGTCTCTAGATAGATGGATCTTTCACAAATCCAATGAATGTGTTCTCGAGTGGCAACAAAGGAAGAAGATTATTCTCGATATAGCAAAAGGACTGAATTATCTTCATGAAGATTGCAGACAGAAAATAATTCACTTAGACATTAAACCCCAAAATATCCTTTTGGATGGGAATTTTAATGCTAAGGTTGCTGATTTTGGATTATCCAAGTTGATAGACAGGGACCAAAGCCAAGTCGTCACAACCATGAGAGGAACTCCCGGTTATTTGGCCCCCGAGTGGCTGAGTGCAGCAATCACTGAAAAGGTCGATGTGTATAGCTTTGGCGTGGTAATCTTGGAGATAGTGTGTGGGAGAAAAATCTTCGATCGCTCTCTAGATGAAGAAGACATGCATTTACTGAGCCTTTTTAAGAGAAAGGCAGAAGAGGAACGATTGTTGGACATTGTGGATAAGTCTAGCGATGACATGCAACTAAATGGACCGCAGGCGGTGAATATGACGAGGATTGCTGCATGGTGCTTGCAAGGAGACTATACGAAGAGGCCCTCCATGTCTATGGTCGTCAAGGTGTTAGAGGGCGTCGCGGAAGTTCAAGAAGACCTGGATTACGACTTCTATGCTCAGCCTTCCATTGATGGAGCAGCGAGATTTGGTCCGATGGACGTCGAATTCAGAGCTACCACTGCATTACTACCCTCAATCCTAAGCGGTCCACGATGACTCGACAAACGAATAAGAACTTTTCTTCCCAATATGTCAAGTGGTACAATCTGCAGGCAATTGAACTTTTCAGATGGTGAGGACTTCGGCTCGTCATTCTCTTTTCAGGCCCGGAAAAAGCATGTGGCATGATATCATTTCTCTTTTTCACTTTGCAAATGAGTGGACTTTGCCATAACTCGTCAAAAGATTGACTTGGTTAGGATGTTGCATTTAGGTTGTATTGCTTATGCAAAAACTAGTAGTGCTCAAGTTTGTTGTGTTTGGGAAAAGAGGGAATTTGTTGAGTCATTTGTGTGAAAAGCTGCTAAGACTAGTCAGTTGTTGGTAATGTCTTTTCGTAGCTTTACTATGTCGTGGATCCAAATCTGATTTGCTTTTTGGTTCCAACACGCGATATCCTTCGGATTCAATGACTCTACTCTTCCTCATTTTGCGGTTCTTCTTCCAATTCCTCTGCTTTGTGCCCTTCGCCTTCTCCTCTTCTCGAAGTCTCCAAATCGGAGTCGCCATAGTAAGTTATCACAACATCACGTAGAGAAGCGATAATCTTGCGATGAAACTGTCTATCTTCTCCTCGGCCATGGAAGGCATCGCGTGGAGAGGATGGCTTTACACGGTGTTCATTCTGCACTTCGTGTTCGCTTGCCAGTTTCTCCTACTTCAACCTCTAGTCTCTGCCCTGGGTACGTCATTCTCACTTAGCTCTGCGAACTCGTTGCCGGATGGATTTTTTGAGAGGTTGTGGTGTGCTCTAATTGTTTGAGTCTTGAGTCACCGATTAGAGAGTGGCGACGAATTGGCGGATCTTTTCTTAGGGATCCTCTCGGATATTTGAGATTAGGCAGGAGTTTGTGCAGAAAGGCGAAATGAGATGGACTGAAGAGTCTTGAAATGTCTGTGCTGGATTATAATTCTAGTTTCGGTGTGATGCATATGTTGCCTGATTGATGAATTTACTACCGGTGTGGGGACCAGGGAGTTTTATCTAATTCTAGTTCATTGTCCTGAGGGTGGCGGCATTGTGGGACTTTCCATGGTTCGAGATTGTAAGATTGTAGAGCAGTTCGGGGGTATTGAAGGTTTTCGAGCAATGAAATACTTTCGGAGCTGCTCAAGCTCATGATTGCCAATAGTCGCCGAATCAGTTTCTTCGCGGATGTTGTGGATTGCAAATGGGCATTAGTCTAAGAAACCTGTATGGTAGCTTAAGAGTTACTACCATTCTTTGGTGTGCTTAGTCTGAAAAATCTTGTCTGTAGATGGTGTGTTATGTCCAAGCAGAAAACTGGTTTAGTGGACAAAGTAACTCCTGGCACTTTAACAGATGTATAATGGAAAGCTTCACGACCGTAGGTTTTTGTCCACCAAATTGAAAGGATAGTTCTCGTTAATGTTTATGGTATGCTTTTGATTATATTTCGGCAATTTATTGCCGGCTCATATGTTTCGTTGGATTTTTTTGGTACTGGGATGCGCAGATGGAAAAAGCTGATGCTGCTGAGTTCCTTGATACTTTGGTAGGGGCATCGCAGAGTATCAAGGTGAAATGTTAAAATGAGGCACTCGATGATCTTAATGCTGCCATTGAGGCAGATCCAAAACTTTCTGAAGCTACAACAACAACAACAACAACAAAACTTTCTGAAGCTTATCTTCATCGAGCCTCCACTCTTCGGCAGCATAGGATAACATGAATCGGTTTGGCTCGGATCGCGCGGAGCGATGGGTTACGAGTCCACTTATAACCAATCTAGAACACTCGACTAACGCACTATAAAAACTACTAGCAAATTTGTGCGCCACGACAGCGTGCGTTTTTCTCATTTGTGAAGAATTAGTATATATATTTTAGCGTAAATTATTCGCCAAATTGTATCATATTCCATATGAATCTCCCTCTTTGCAATAAAACTAAGGTAGGATTCTTAGTTCAAATGATGTGTTAATCCAAAATAGAAGATTCGATAACATCTAGGAAATTGTTAATTTTTGTTCTTATATGACTTAGGGAGATTTTATATGTAACTAACGACATTATTGTAATATTGAGAGAAAATAATAAAAATCTTTTAAGGAAATACTTAATAGGAAAAGCTAAAACAAAATTTAAGAAAATTCAATAATTGCTAATTTGCAACATTAAAACCCATTAAAACTAATAATTTTTTTTCTTTTTGTTGAACATAACTCGTGCCATTTAATGAGGCAAAGTACAAATTCTAGTTGAGCAAAATGAGTGGAGAGTGCAAAAAGAAGTCATTGAAAGGAAAGTGATCAATCCATCCCAATAGAGAGTTTTCGGATAACCATTAAAAATTTGAGATCGATACTCCATGATACATTTACCTAAACTAATTTCTGTCTCACAAAAAATTCCAAACCGATACCTTACGACACATTTATCCAAAACTAATTTTCATCTCACATAAATCCTAAACCGATGCCTCATGAAATATCTCATGAAATATTTACCAAAACTAATTTTTCACAAAAAACCCAAAACTGGTACCCCTAGCCCAATTTACCCTCCATTAAAATGTATACATGTCACCACATATAGATTTTCCACATCTGATTTGTCATTCTCCACAACATATCTATCTTACAGCCGTCTCCTGTTTGTGTTGGCATGTATGCATGTTAACATGATATTAAACTAAATACTAATGGATTGTAGATTTGAGTTGGGGGAACCAATTTTGGGTTCTTTTGTGACACGAAAATTAGTTTGGGGGTAAATATGTCATGGGTTGCAAGTTTATAATTTTTTGTGAGATAAACATTAATTTGGGGTAAATGTATCATGGGAGTCCCGATTTTAGATTTTTAAGGAAGAATATGTGTATAATATAATTATATAAATAGTAAGGTCATCGAGGTGAAGCTTCATCTGAAGAGAATTTCTTTATTGGATTCAGGTCCACCGATTGGAGTCCATCACAATGTGGAGATTTTGCGAGCCCAATGTGAGGTCCACAAGTAAGTCTACAAAATCAATGGTAAAAATGAAGGTCAAGCAGATATGGGTTCACACCACACATTTCCCGATTGAAGATGGGCAGGATTTACGCCAAAGAATCTCTCTAGACAACCATCCTTTCATCCTTTTTAGGTGATTGTGCATTGCATACTTCAAGACAATTCCCTGCTTCGAATGAATTTAGATTGAGGATTGTAGGCATTAAAGTGACAAAATATAACTTTAAAAGGATTAGCGTATATAAGAAAGAAGCATCGGGAGCAAAGCATATTTTCTAGGTATTAAAAAAGGGCATGATATCCTAAACCTAGGAACCTCAAAACTCGATTCCAATGCCGGAGCCTCTGGTTCTACTGGGGACTCATAAAAAATACTTTCACGGCCATTGAGAATCGAACCATAATTTTATAAAGGAAGAAATAACAACATATATTTTGATAGTGAAATGGTGCAATTTTTATATTTTATTATATATAATTTGATTTGTTACACAAAAGAAAAAAGTAGGCTAGTTCCCCAGTAGAACCGGGAAGCCAATCAAAACTAACCGGTTAGATCAGCTTCCGTTTCGAGGTCGGGAACCTATCCATAGGGAGCCTATCACTCCTATTCATAACTTGACCCAATCAGTTAGCAAATTATCCTTACCATGTTAATAAAACTTAAAGTTACTTACATAATTTTGTGAACCCGAAAAGACATTTTAAGGATGGCTTGTAAAATTTCTTTTTCAATCTTATATATTGTGATTTGTTAGGTTTCTTGATTGGAGATCTACACTATAAGTTTTTGAATGAAACGAGTTTATAACGTGCTTAGTATCATATATTTATTTACTAAAATCAATTGTAGTGGGTGTCAGGAGTCGGGGTAAAGATTTTATTTCAAAACCCATTACGGATTTAAGACGGGTTTGGGAAGTAAAAAAAAGTTACTGGAGAAGGGTTTGGGACAAGCTTGGCCATCGCAAACTTGTCTCGCTTCCATCCCTAATCATAGCGGCAACTTCTATAGGAGCTCATGAGCCGCCATGGACAATCTCGATCCAAGATCGGAGGAGCTTGGCGACCTCGAAACGAGGTTGTAGATGCAGCAATGACCTCGGGTTTGAAGTGATCGCGGCTCTCGTCGGCTCTGTAGAGAGAGAGATAGAGAGAGGTGCAGCCGCCGCCGAGCTAGAGTGGAAATTGGGTTTAGAGTTTCTTGGTGGTTAAGCGTAGCAAAGGGTTAGGAGCATTTTGGAGAAGAAAGTCACGGTTTGATAAAAAAAAGTCACGTGAATTGATTGAATTTTCCTAAAAATGAAAGATTGTGCACTTTTTACCGGATAAAATTAATCGCTACGCTAGATTTACGATTTGTGTATCTCAAGTGGGAGATATCACCGTTTATATTTATTCAAAAGAACCAAGTGAATACATATTAAGAAAACAGTTGAATCTTATATTATATTTGTTGATTCAGTAACCTGTTTATAAAATATCTTACATATTGTTCACTAAGTGCATCTATATGTTGGAAAAAAAGGATAAAAAGAAGTCACGGGTTTGTAGTGGTTAAAGAGCAAACTTGTATGCTTGAGTTAGATGTATAACACAAGACCCATTTTTTTACATTGCATGCGTATAATTTCATGCTTAATATAGAACTGATCTTGGAATTGACCACCCTTAATCATCCACTTGCTCTGTCCTGCTATTCCTTCCAACTTGCTCTGCTCCCTTCATTTAATAAGTCAGGTCCGATATTGCAATGAAGCAACATAAATCCTAGGAAAAGTTGCATTATATCTTACGTACGAAATGAAATTAAATTCTAAACGGTCCAATCAAGTCCATTGATTGGCTAACAGTACCATTAGCTTGGAAAATAGACGGTCAATCATCGGCCACACATTTTCCATGAGAGTGAAAAAGATATGTTTTGCTTGGCAATTTTCACAAGCTTGTGTTGAAGAAAGAAAAATTTTGTTGCTATCCTTTGACGGTCAGACCATCACGCTAGCGCAATCCTATCGTAAAATGCAATGGAGTCTTCAAATTATGATGAAAAATGCAATTTAAGGATGGCACATAAAAACACGTTGAGTGACGTAGGCAATTCAATTATTATTTATCAAAAGGATTTGATTGTAACTTTTTTAAAAAGGATTTAGGGTCTGTTTAGTAACGTTTCTGTTTCTTTATTTTTCTGTTCTTTTGTTTCCTGAAACAGAAAAAGAAAAGAAATCGGTTTAGTAAAGAAAATTTATTTTTTTGTTTCTGAAACAAAAAAGTGTTTCTAAAATAGATTCGGAATAAAAATAAGAAGAAAAAAAAATTTGCTTTTTGTTTTCGGAAAAAAAAAAAGAAACGATTTTTTTTCTGAAACCTATTTCTTTCTCACTTCTTCGCCTTTCCAACTCAGTGCTCTTCCTCCCAGCTCACCACCTCC